TATTCCGTGGGGAGCTTTTGGGAAGTGCCCAGCATCTGTTTTGCTGCCGGCTGAACAGATCAGAGAGTCTTCTGGACTGGGGCGTCTCCTCGGCCCCCAGCTGCCTCCAACAGGCCTCCTTCTGGCCGGGCACTGGGGGGGCGCCCCCTCAAGGCACGAAGCACTCCAGAGGGTTGGTGGAGTCGGGCAGGATGTTGCAGTTCAAGGGCCACGCGATGTCCAAGCGGGTCAGGGGCTGTCGGCAGCGCTCCTCCGCCCCCAAACACACGGAGCGACATGGCTGCAAGATGCCCCCTTCTGGGAGGCACTTGGGGACGAAGAGGCTGCAGACCAGCAAACGCAGGTCAGGGTAGCAAGTGAGGTCCTGCAGCGTCTGAAAAAGAGGTGGGTGTTCTCTGCCAGGGGCTGGAATGTAGGCATTCCCTTGGTATGTGCCCGTATCACCCACTGGGCAATGCTCTTGGGGGACAGGTGCAACCACAGTACCCACTAACCAAGAGAGTCATTTGTTGGGTTCCCTGGAGGTCATCCACCCTCACCCTAACATAAGTACCCTGTTGCTGCTGCACCTTAATCTGATCTAGTAGAACCACCGTCTGCTGCCCGCAATATCGATAAAGTAGAATTCACATCCGACTTGTAGAGTTTGTTTCCTGATCCGGCCTACCTCAGAGGGCTGACACATTCTGCCATATCTAGCTCGAGACGAACTTTCAGGGGCTGGTTTTCTCTCCCCCCCACTCTTCCTGCCATTGTGGCCCCAGGAAAGGTTCTGCAGACTTTAAATGCTGGCTTTCTCTTTGGATCAACTGGGTTGTTCTCCAAAAAGTATGGCCAACGATGAATTGTGGAGCACTGAATTGGCCCAAACAGCTGTGGCTATGATTAAGGGTGCATAAAGCTGCTGTGTAGAAGTGTACTTGCTATCTCATTCTCAAGTACATATTATGAGCAAAATGTGAAAATTCCACCCAGTTGCTGATGTCTAATCATGCAATGAGAAATTAACCATGAAGGTATAGATCAGTGTTTCTCAACCTTGGCAGCTTGAAGATGTGTGGACTCCAATTCCCAGAATTCCCCAGCCAGCATGGCTGGCCGGGGAATTCTGGGAGTTGGCGCCCACACATCTTCAAGCTGCCAAGGTTGAGAAACACTGATCTATACCTTCATGGTTAATTTCTCATTGCATGAATGGGCCGAAGCCTCCTGTGAACCGATAAAAGTGGAAATGTGCATGGGCCGAAGCCTCCTGTGAACCGATAAAAGTGGAAATGTGCATGGGCCGAAGCCTCCTGTGAACCGATAAAAGTGGAAATGTGCAACCATGAAGGTATAGATCAGTGTTTCTCAACCTTGGCAGCTTGAAGATGTGTGGACTCCAATTCCCAGAATTCCCCAGCCAGCATGGCTGGCTGGGGAATTCTGGGAGTTGGAGTCCACACATCTTCAAGCTGCCAAGGTTGAGAAACACTGGCATAGATTGTCCATATGCTGATGTGGGTGAAACTTTGGAATTTACTCTCCAATGCAACTCTGTGGATGCCTCCAGCCTCTTTCCAAGGATTCAACCTCCTTTCCCGTCTCTCTGCCTTCCTTCCAACCTCATTCTGCATCAGCCTCACCATGTAGTCTTGAAGCAGCTCCTCGGCACCCTGCTGATGTGGGATCATCAGCCATATGTTGGGGAAGGAGGTGGAATTGTAGCTGAGACCTTGGCACATTTCCACTTTTATCGGTTCACAGGAGGCTTCGGCCCATGGCGGAAGAGAAGACAACATTTCAAAGAGAACAAGAATGTATCCATCACCATGGTTTGCTTTCCCCAACCCTTGTTGTAAGGATTAGGTGTTGGCAACACGCTTAGGACACCCAAGACCCTATTTTTTAATCAATGCAGGAAGAGCTAACGGTTGAGTAACCCAAACTCAATTCAAAATGGTTGAGTTGCACTCTTCTTTCAAGGGAAGGTGAGAGACTCTGTGGTTGGAGCAATGAAGCAAAGAAGGAGGGCCAGGTCACACTTGTGGTGATAGGTTGTCTGTGTTTGGGACAGGAAGTTTGGGGGTCAAGCTTGCTTTAAAGCACATCATTTGAGGAAGGAGTTCCTATCCCAAGATGGAAAGAAAGGCCATGTAATTATTAGGGGTTAGTCTTGAACACCTCCGTGGGGCATTGGACTGGAGCACCTGCAAAGTCCCTTCCAACCCAACAATTCTATGATTCTGTTTTTGGCAGTTGTGGCTGGCCAGTCCTTGGATGCACAATGACACAGCCCAAGCTTAGTCCAGATGAGGCCAAAATACCGAAGCCTAATAAGCGTGGGCATGGAAAAAAAGAATTTGTAAAAAAGGGATTATTCCCCTGGCAAAAAAGTACATTTGCACAGGGGAGGTTTCTGGATTGGGCACTGCTCTGAAGGTATCCAAATCGCCACTGCGGTCAGGAGTGTCTTTGTCCCACTTTTGGAAAAGCCCTGGGGTTGCTCCCCCAAGCCTTCATCACAGCTTCAATTCCCGTCCATTGGCCTGGGTGGGTTCGCCCTTGAAGAGTGTTGAAAACAAAAACGTTTGTGCAGAACAGAGCCAGATTGTTTTCCAGAATTCACCCTTGGGGTCCCTTGTTAGGGATCTGTGCCTTCTGCTTGTTTCTAGGTTCTGCTCCAAGTCTTGATGCTTAACTCTAATGCAGTGATACTCAACCTTAGCAACTTTAAGACGGGTGGACTTCAACTCCCAGAATTCCC